TTTGCAGTCTTTCTTCTCATGAAAGGGCCCTGGTGATGCGGTGAGCATGTGCTGGGCTGCTGACCACAGGTCAGTGGCTTGATTCCACGTCTGCTCCCAGAGAAAGGCGGGCATCGTCCTGTAAAGGTTCACAGCCTGGAGACCCATGGGTCTGCGCTGGGGCTGGAATCAAGTCAACAGCAGTCTGGGTTTCGTGTTTACTGACATACAACTTACCCACTCTACTGAAAATAGGGCTAAATTGGGCACTAATTACCCCCAAACTTCTCCGTCAAATCAGCTTTTGTAGCTGGCAGACGTGCACCATCCAGACTGATTTTTCTGTGACTGCAGCTTTGCCCACTTGTGTCTTCTGTGTATTTTTGTTGTTGTGTTTAGCATCCACTCTCCACCTCACAATCTTTCAGCGGACTTTGTGTGGGGTCCTCTGTGGCCGCTGCTGCCAGAGGCTATGTGGGGAGCTTGCATTTCTAGGAGGGTGTGTGCCGTTCAGGCATTGAGACGAGGTGCATTCAGCTGGTAAGGTGTGGTTTCAGAATGTTCTCGGGACGCTGAGGGTCTGTCTGAGGCAGGGCCTCTCGGGCCCCAAGGAACTGTCCTGCCAGGTCCCCTGAGAGCCTCCAACCCCTCAGGGTCTTCCTTCTCCCCAGAACGCCTCAACGCCTGACACCCTGTTCACTGGGGTGCTCTCCCCCACCATCACCAGCTTCCTGTCTCCACTGAGCTGGGTAGTACCAAGCAGGTAACATGTTTGGCTGCTAAAATGAGAGGCTAACAGTTCAAATCCACCCAGAGGCACCTCGAAAGAAAGGCCTGGCAATCTACAGCCGAAAAATCAACCAACAAAACCTCTATGGACCCCAGTTCTGCCCTGACACCCAGGCGGCCACTGGGAACCAGTCACCTTGATGGCAATCAGTATTGATTAATGAAGAAGGGACAAGAGTCCTTGGTTACTTCCTTTTTATTATCAACATAGTCAATGCCCTTAGAAGCAGCACTCAAAAAATCAAGACATACTGCCTTAGACAAATTGCTGCCAAGGACCTCTTTGAGGTGCCAGTGAGCAAGGATTTCAGTTCAAAGACTAGGGCGCATCTCATTCAAGTCACAGCATTTCCAATTGTTCCCTGTGCATCTGAAAGTTGGACAATGAATAAGGAAGACCAAAAAAAGAACTGATGCCTTAATTGTGATGATGGTGAAGAGTCCAGAATATCCTGTGGACTGCCCAAGGACAAACCATTGAGTCTTAGAAGAGGTGCGAGTGCAGGACTGGGGAGGTTTCGATCTGCTGTACGTCAGCTCACCAGTTGGAGCTGACCTGACAGCATTTTAGAGGTAGGCAGCACCAGCTGGGGTGTGGCGTCTCTCTGGGTGCCCCTGCTGCTGCCCCATCTGAGGGGTCTGTCTCCTGAAGGGCTAGTCTTTCATCTGGAAGCCCAGAACCTGGCACTGGGCCTGGCTCAGACATTCAGTTCCTTCACTGTCCAATGGGGAGCGGGTGGAGAGATGCACAAGCGCTGTCCACCTTTCCATCTGTCCACGGTGGGCCCTCCAAGCCATGCCTACTTCCTCTCCTGTCCACTCCATTTAAAGGTCCCAGTTGACTTCTGCTCACAAGCCCCTTGGGGCTGGACACTTCCTCCTTCAGTCCCGGGAGCCAGCCTGCTCCTGGTCCCTCTCTGTTCTCCCATCACCCTGCCCTGTGCAGCCAGCCAGCATGGATCTGTCCTGAGCAGAGGACTGCGAGTAGAAGGGGCCACTTGAAGGGAAGCCCTGGACACCCCATGTGGCCCTGTGGGTGACCTGCACGCCTTGTACTGAGATGATGAAGCCACAGCCGGGTGTGGAGACCAGAGGAGATGCTAGCCCCTCAGCGAGTGGGGACCAGGCATGGTGGGATTAATCTGTTTATTCAGCTCCCTAGCATCAACTACCTCTGCACTTGTATGAACAAACCCCAGGCCATCTGTGCTGGGGTCCCCTCGTGGGGAGCAGACCTGTCCTCAGGGTTTTCAGAAGCAGACTGTCAGGCTTCTCTTCCCAAGTGCCTCTGGGTGGGTTTGAACTGCTGAGGTGTTTAACCAATTGCACCCCTGCCCCGGGCACCCTGACGCAGGGCGCTTCGCAGGCGCTCCAGTCTCTGGGTGAATCGTGCTGAGAGCTGCGCCTACCCTGCACTGTGACATATTTTCTAAACCTGTGGGGGGTTTTCCCAAAGAGCAGGGTGCTCTTATCCTACTCGCTCTGCCCACTTAGCTGCTGGGGTGTCTCCGGCCCTGACAATGGACAGGAAGCTGCTGGGAGCCCTGCTGGCTTCCGCTCACGGGGGCACAAGCCAGCCGTCCCACAGCAGGGGTACCTGTTGGCTGCCCCCTGCCCCAGACCACCATTCTCCTTGTTGTGACTACTCAGACCAGGGTCACCGGACCCTCCTTTCCACTCCAAGCTCTTCCCCCCACTGCAGTGACAGGAATGTCAGAGCGTAAACAGCGGGTTTCCAGCAGGCATGGAATGAACCCCCAGAAAGAGCTCAGGAGGGTGGCTGCAGTGAGGGCCAGGAGGACGCCAGCACGTCCACTCCCACTGTCATTTCCTTGCCTCGATGTGTTTCTGGACTGTGTAACCTTCTAAAACGAGCGAACAGAAGGCTCCACAAAGCAGCCCACACCTGCAGGAGTTTTCTGAGGCTCTTGTTGCATGCGCACCACTTGTTAGGTTCCCACGTGCATTCTGTCCTTCAGGCTGTGTGAGCACGCAAGGAAGACAGACACACAGACGTGAGGCTTGGCTGTGAGCACAGGTGATGTCCCGGGAAGGAGCCCCCGGCTGAGGGCCACTCCGCCAACTCGCGGCCTCAGACCTGGGTCTGGATCTCTCCTTTGTGAGTGGCCTCCACTGCCAGGCTACTAGGTGCTGCTTCCTGTCGGACACCAGCTCCACGGGCCCCATTCTAGGAGGTTCTCTCCAACACGACTAACCAAGTACAAGCAAGTCCACGGCTTCCCAGGTCTCCATGGCCACATCAACCACACTCACCATGGTGTGTGGCTGTCACCAGCATCCTCTCCAAACGAGCCCCCCACCCTGAGCGGAAGCCCTGTGTTTCCTCACAGTGACCCCGACAGAGTGGGGGTGCACGTGATGATTGTGAGGTGTCTGAAGGTGGACGCAGAGAAGTGTGTAGATCTGTGACTTGCAGACACTGCTCTGCACACTTGCGTGTCTTTCCGAGGTGAGGTCAAGCTGCTGGGGTGCCCTGCTCATCAGGGATGGACCCGTTCAGCTCACACAGGGTTGACCAGCCAGCCAGGCTGCAGACAGCATCAGAACATCATTTCTGTTATGACTGAGTCCTGTCCATTGTAAGTATCACAACAAATAAAAATAAAATTCAATCAACCACAGCTGCCAAGCTGAGCCTGACGCCCAGCGACCCCGCAGGAGAGAGCAGAAATGGCGGGGCATTTCCAGTGCTGCGGTGTTCAGGAGAGCAGAAATGGGGGGGCATTTCCGGCACTGTGCTGTTCTGGAGAGCAGAAATGGGGGGCATTTCCGGCGATGCGGTGTTCAGGAGAGCAGAAATGGGGGGGCATTTCCGGCACTGCGGTGTTCAGGAGAGCAGAAATGGGGGGGCATTTCCAGTGCTGCGGTGTTCAGGAGGGCAGACTTATGTATTGCTCTCCTCCAGAGCGGTGCAGTGCCTCCCTCCACAGACTCTCGTGTCCTCCTGCATAGCCAGTGCCCAACCTTAGCTGCCTCTTGGGTTACCTCCTGTCCCCCAAAACTGACAGTCCCCTCAAGACAGGGGCCATGGAGTTACCCGAGTCCTCCAAGGGCCGCAGTGGGAGAGCCCCTCGCCTCTCCTCCTGCACAGCGAGCTTTGCCTACCACACCTGTATGCAGGTGACACTCCCCTAGGCTCGTCTGCCCACTGCCACGTGTCTTCCCCGGGGTATTTTCATAAGCACACTATGCTAATTTTTTATAGCAACATGTTTTAAAAATTAGAATGGAGCATATATGGGGGAGGGAGAGGAGGGAGCAGCCAGCAAAATAAAAAACCAAAAAGTAGTTATTTGTATGAAAAAAACCCCAACAAGCACCGTTCAGACTAGTGATTCCATCTAATGGAAAGGACACGATAGGGAGCCTAAATTGGGCCTGTGATGGAATTGATCTAAAAAAAAAAAATATAAAAGATTTTTGTAAGAACTGCAAGTTGCTTTTCTAAATTAGATCTACAACAGCCCACTTAATTCTAAACTCAGCTGATGTTTCAGCCTTGAACAGATGAAAAGCTGGAAAAGTACATCAACTACTACCCAAGCTGGCCTCCAAGTAGACACAGGCAGAGGGTCCTGTGGAGGCTGGGGGGAGCACATCTACTGGTGGAGGACCAGTGTGGACGCGGCTGGGAATGGGGACGTTACACCCCCAGCGCCCCTGGAACTGAGGCCTCCATGGGGGGCTCTCAGAACCAGGGGCTGGTCCAAAATAGTCAGTTAGAAATGCATTTTCAAAAATGTAACTGACATCAGATACTATTTCCTGTTTAGGGTCCCCTTGACGAAAGTTTGGTAATTTTCTTCCAACAAATGACTTATGCACTGCACAGTTGCGAGGCTCCGACTTCCCTCCCCGACTGTGGGGAGAAGCGGGTTTTCCTTCACCAGGTGCAGAGCTCTGTGTACCGAGCCTGGTGCCCGAGAACCAAGCCCGTGGAGAGAGACTTGGTTTTCACAAACAGTAACTTGGCCAATGGTTTTTTAGCAACGTGGACCTCTCAGGTCTAGGGGTGCCGTGCGTGTCCCCCGGGCCCCCCACGTTCCTGTAGCCGATCCCCCTCCCCGAGGGTGCCCTCCACGAGGGACAGGAGAACAGGACAGAGAATCAACAGAAACCGCCCTGGTGGTGACCCAGCTCTGCGCCGACTTTGCTCAATGACCCGAGACTGTGGACACAGGGGAGCAGGGCAGCCTGCAGGCGTCACTCACCGCGTCCAAAGCTTCTCAAACTCCCGGGGCGTGAGAGGAATGTCGAATCCGAACAGCGCGTTCTTGACGTCCCGCTGGCGAACAATGCTGTTGCCCTCCTTATCGGTTTCTGTAAAACTCTGCAAGACGAGAGAGGGTGGTGTGTGGTCAGAGAAGACGTGTCTGTAAAGTGACCGCTCGCTCGCTCCTGCTGTCCAGCCAGTGCTGACCCACTGCTGGTCCCCCAGGGGTCAAGGCTGTCTGCCTCAGGGGAGGAGCTGCCCATCTTTCTCCCCCAGATCCAGACCAGTAGCCCCTGAGAGAGCAGGGTAACTCGCCGTGGATGAGGCCTCCAGGGCTCCCTACAAGACGGTCAGATAGGAAAACCCCCAAACATCTCAACCAAAAGAATGAAGAAAAAGAAAACAACAAAAACCAAACAAACAGAAGGTAGCCTAGAAAATGTACACCGGTCACTCCGTGCAACGAGGTGAGGATGTCCTCTCCGTGGACATCCAGTCACCCCTTGGCTGTGCCCCAGACACCCTCCCCATGTCTGTGAAGGAGGCAACACAGACAATGCAAACAGGCATTAACCCTAATCCCCACATTAACCCCCACACTCCAGCCGTCAGGTCTGTGAGGCTGTGAATCACCGAGAGGCGGACTTTGCATCTCTTTCTTACTGTGGGTCAGCTGGTGGACTTGAACTCTGGCCTTTCTGGCTTGCAGCCTAACACGTAACATACTGTGCAGCCAGCACTCCTGGTATTACGCGCTGTTGCTGCCGTGTACTCTCTGAAACGACTCCTAGCTGACCCTCCAGAGGGTTTTCAGAGGCTGTCCCTCTCACAGAAGGAGATGACCCATCTTTCTCCTGCGGAGCACCTGGTGGGTTTGAACTGCCTGCCTTTTGGGATGGCTGTGCAGCTCCTTTCCCCTAAGCCACCAGAGAGCCCCTGCATTATGAAGGGGTTACTTCTGGGGATGAGAAGTCTCAGGTGTGTGCTGTCGAGTTGTCTCCTGATTGAAAACGTGAGAAAAGTCAAACTAACCGGAGAGGTGGTCAGAGCCGGTGGTCTGGGCCGTCTCTCTGCCGGGGAGTGGGGTTGGGGGGAAGTAGGGGTGGGGTGGGAATGAAGAAGGCCTTTAGAACCCAGCAAGTGTGACAAAGCCGTGGGACTATCTTCATGTCCCCGAGGATGCTAACGGCATCTGGTGGGAGGTGTTACCAGGCAATGGAGAAGCCCAAGGACGCTCGTAACAGCCAGCAGGCATCCTTCTTAGCATGGTCTTAAGATGTTTCCAAGTAATTGCTCCTTGAGTTTTCCTAACAACCCGAGAGTTAGAAAGAATAAGAACTGGGTCGGGGAGGGAGAGTTTCTCCCTCCAGCAAAATTTCTGCTCTTACGGAACCTCAGAAAATCTATGTAGAGACAGATTCACTGTGGATACAGCAGTTACTTTAAGATAATTTTACACTGGAGTAGAATGGAGTCTTGAGGCCCTAATAGAGGTGTCTTTAAAAGAGGTAAAAGATGCCAAGGGAGACACGGAAATACACAGGGGAAACCACCTCTGATAATCCTGGGGGAATATGTAAGGGCCAGCGTTACAATATCTGCGGTGTGTACCCAAGAAATAAAATTTTAAAAGAAGGCCCTTGATACGATTCCATTCACATTATGTTCACAAGCAGGGAAACTAACACTGTTTTGTTTGAGATGTGCACATATACACTATGAAGAATAAGGATGTGAGTCTCATCAATATACACTAGCAGATACTTCTGCCTTGGGAGAAAGGGCACCTCAGGGGGCACTGAAAGCAGCAACAGGCCGGCAGTGGCCTGAGGGTTAGCCCAGGTGCCGATGACCACCTCTAGCACCACCACCACCAGCTGGTTTCGTAAACCAAGTTGCACTGGAACCCAACCCTGCCATTCGTATTACGTACGGCTGCTTTGTGTGGAATAAGGATCGAGTCAGAACACTTTACAGTTCTCAAAGCCAAATGTTTACTATTTTATTTTTACAGGAGGAACACTGGTGCAAGCACTGAGCATTTAACCAAAATGTTGGCTGTTCAAATCCCCTAGCCAGTATACAGGAGAGAGAAGAAGCTGTCTGCTTCCACATTTACCATCTTAATCATATTGTGAGCCAGCTCTACTCTGTCCTACAGGGTTGCTGTGAGGACCAGCCTTTACCGAAGAAGTGCACCGAAGTTGGTCTGAGATACTGACAATATTCTATCCTGAATCTGGATAATGGTCACACAGGTGAGTTATATAAGACACATTGCACATATTTCACTGTTCTGACTCTGATGGATTTCAAAGAAAAACACCCTTTGACTCAGTTTCTTTCCCTAGGGCCTGTTGTGAGCTGCCCATGTCTCTCTGAAAGCCAGCCCCTCCCAGTCCTGGGCACACCCTCTAGTCCTGGGGCACACCCTCCCACCCTGAGGCACACCCTCCAACCCTGAGGCACACCCTCCAGTCCTGGGCACACCCTCCAACCCTGAGGCACACCCTCCAGTCCTGGGCACACCCTCCCAGTCCTGGGCACACCCTCCAGTCCTGGGCACACCCTCCAGTCCTGGGCACACCCTCCAGTCCTGCTCTCACCAGACTCTCACCCACAGCGCTATCATCCCTGTCTTCCATGGGCTCCTCCTATAAGGTTAAACTCGCACCACCTTTCCTGACTCTGTCAAAAGGAGCAAACCCTTCCACGGACGTTCCCCACTGGACCCAAGCCAACCCTTCCGCCTGCCTAGCATCCACACATGCCCAGTCCTCCCTGGAGTCTCTGGGGGATGCACTGTGACTCTCTCTGGAGGCAGGGCAGGGACCGCGCCATGTGTCTGCAGACCCTCTCATGGTGCCTCACACACGGCTGATTCATGGTAAGCGTTTGCTGAAGAAACACATGCAGTAATTTTCCCCGAGGTGCTTAAACAGAAATTCCCCTGGGAAGCTGGCCCAAGTGGACAACTCCTCTTGGCCCTTGAGATTTCCCCTGGGGTCCACCCGCACCCCACAGAGCATGGCTGTGCAGCCGGCCAGGTGACGCTCTCTGAAGATGATGAAATACTTGAGCCTCTGCCCAGGTCCCAGATGCAGCTTTCCTATAGAGCACACCTTTCTGGCAGGAATCCGTCCATACAGAGGCCCCAGTTCCTTCCAGGTAAGGCCTGACCCCCCCCCCCACTGCACCCTCTCACAGACAAGAGGAGCCGGAGGGGGTGCTGCAAGCCCTCTGTGCCCTCAACAGGGTGGATGGGGCTGGAGAAAGGCCGTGCTGGAACTTGTCGGGACTTAGCAGCTATAGGGTCAAGTGGAATGGACATAGATCGAAAATAACCAGGGCACCTGGGAGGTGAGATTCCAAGTTTGCATCCAGGAGGCGATTCCCAGGGTCCCATTACACGGGAGGGGACCAGTGGTGCAGTGGCTGAAGCACTGAAACCCACCCGCTGCTCCACGTAGAAAGACAGGGCCGTCTGATTCTCTGTCACAGCCTCAGGCACCCCAACGGGCAGGTCTGCTCCGTCCACAGGGCCACTGTGAGCTGGAATCAACTTGATGGCAGTGGGCCTGGCTCTGGCCAAACATAAATTTCTGTGTCCTTGTTGCGATGAACCAGGTTCCCCCCCACCCCAGATGGATGTGAGGCACACCTGTCAGACTTCAGGTGGAGGGGCCTGTGTAAGTGTCTCCCGTCATTTTGGTAAAATTAATTTTGGGCCATTCTGGCAAGACAGGTGGGAGCAGCTATGCCCCTATTTGTGTCAAATGAACTATGACAGAGTGACACATTATCCACTTCCGTTTTCAGTTCTGGCTTCACGTAAAACACAGTCTAGTACTTCTGTCCATGTACTAACGACTACCGTCCTGTCTGTTTTTGAGCAGCTGGTGACCTTGACCGAGAGTGGTTGGTTCTGGGAAGGGAATTTTCCGATAAAAACGTACCCACACCGTTGGGCAGAGCTGCTCACCCACCCCAGCTCCTGGGTCTGCAGAGTGGGCCCATCCCGGGCTCTCCAAGCCCCCGACACACACTTTCTCTCTGCTCTGAGGGACAAACATCTCTTACCTTCGACACTTCTGTCCATCTTGTTCTCGCTTTAGTGACTAGATATTGATGGGCCTGCTCACAAGCGAGTTCTGAATCTGTAACCTTCTGCTTTGGTCTTTAAAGAAAAAAAAAACCAAAACTAAGTACATTTTAAATCCAACAGTCCTCATTCATCCCCCAGGCGGCTTCGCCAGCACATCTTCCCGCTTTGGCTTCTCAGGGCCCGTAAAGCCCATTCTTTCACATCTGGTCGAGCCTGATTCCTAAAGTGCAGCCTAATTTCCCCAGTTGCATGTTCGGGAAGGCTTCTGAGATTTTCTAAGCCCTTGTTTATTTTCAGATAAATGCTATTCAAACTCCTTTTTCTGCTCCCCCTTGCCGGCACAGCTCTCAAAACAAGCAGGGCTCATTTCTTCTCGGGTGGGGATACGTCAAGTGTCCTGGGAAGAGAACCAGCAAAGACTTTTCCTCTGAGCTGACAAGTCGGCATGAGCGGCCGCAGCTGGCATCCCTCCATGAGCCAAGAAGGGAGCACCTGGACCCCTCACAGGACGCCCTCGTCTCAGCTCACTTCCAGCGGCGGCGCTCCTGGGATTGGAGGATGGTCACAAGTCCATCGTATTTACTCCGAAGATGCCAGACCTTGAAGACACTTACGTCAGACCCCACAGGAGCAGCGCCTGGGGAATTGTGAGATGCTGCTGCTGTATTTCTCCACCCACTAAAACCAACTATTCTGGTTGGGTGTCGCCAAGTCAATTCCAACTTCCAACCTCAGATGACAGAGTTCAGCGACCCACGGAGCAGAACGGGGCAGTGCTCTGTTCTGTTTGGACAAAGGGTCACTATGCCCTGAGTCAGCAGCGTCTAACAGCAGCAACAAGGGTCTATCAGGCAGCAGCCCTGGTAGTGCACTGGCTAACACTCTTGGCTGCTAACAGAAAGGTCAGGGGTTCAAATGCACTAGCCACTTCATGGGAGAAGATGGGGCCGTCCGCCTCCATAAGGATTCCAGCCTTAGATACCCTCTGCCCAACAGAATTCCCGTGAGTCAGAATCCACTGATGGCTGTGACTGGTTGTTTTTCCTCCTGCAGAGATGCTGGCGGATTTGAACTGTCAACCCTTTGGTTAATAGTTGTGTGCTTAACTGTTGCTCTACCAGCGTTTCCTATAAGACAGTCCTAGAGGGAACAAAACTGTTCGGAAAATCACTGCTACTTTGCACACTATAGTTGCTGTTGCCCCTCAAGCATCGTGCCTTTTTAAGGATCCTGAAATTCTTTGCACACATCTGCACCCACCGTCCACCCACCCTCGCCCCTCCATGCGTCCCAGGTAGAAGAGCACTCGGGACAGTCCTCTCCAGCTGCCTCTCAGAAGGGGCCCTGCATCCGCTCCAAGCCCACACCTCCCGTGCACAAATGCACCTTGAGAGGGTGCAGCTGGAGTGCTCTCTGGAGGCAAGAACAACGATGCCTGACTTCACACAGTTTGGGCATGTTGCTAGGAAGTGCTAGTTCTTGAAGGACGCAACGCTGGGAAGGGTGGAGGGTCAATGAAGAAGAGGAAGACTCTCAACCAGGGACTGACTTTGCTTTAGAATTCTATTTCCCTCTTTTATTTAGTCACTTTAAACTGTCTGTTCTCCAGGAGAGGAAATGTATCTTTTCTAGATTAGTATTTACATCTTTGAAACTGTTTTTCTCAGTCATATGTAAATGGTACCTTAAACTGCTTGTTTACCAGCAAGGGAAATATATCTTTCCCAGATTAGCATTTATCTTTCCAAAACTATTTTTCTCAGTCATATATTAACTATTTCATACGTTGTCTGTTTACTAGTAACTATATGTAACTGTCCTTTTTAAAAGTTGTTGTTGTTATGTGCCATTGAGTC